GTAGAAACTCGACACAGGACAGCTTCTTGGAACCATAATCGCAACACGTTGATGGCTGTTACTTATTTTGTTAGAAATGATTGAAAATGTAATATTTATATTTGATACTACGTGATCTATATAAAGCTGTGATCCAACGATGATTATTCTTATATGCAAATATTGTTTGTAGAAGAGAAACTCATTTCTATGTTCTTCATCATGTTTTATATTGATGTTATTCGTATGATTTTCAACAAATATTGAAATACAATTGGCATTACCTTAATCTTTCTTTATTTCGTAATATGTTGCTCTTTAAACTTTGTAAATATCATTCTGAGTTTGGTTTTTATTAATTCATTTTCCCAAACCTTAACAAATCCGTCAAGTTAGCACTAACAGGATTAAAAATCGCATTTGTTTTACAAAACCTCGCGGAATATTATGTACCTAAATAATGTATCAGATTCTTGTACGCCTTGGTGCATCATTAAATCATCTCATTATCCCAGCTAGCGATTATTATGGATCCGAAAATCTGTACACACATTCAATGTTCCGATAATTATAATTTATTGACTGCTATCCATTTTCATTAGCTTTCATAATAATCACGAAATTTCAAGTATGAACAGATTGTACAGAATTAGATAATGGTTCGATTAATATCCTCTATCAAAATCGCAATGTGTTTGTTATAAATCTGTAAGGGAAATTATATTTTGAGATACGCGCCCGCATATCCCTCCCACGATCGCATACGTTGAGAGAAGGGAGTCTCGCCGAAATCGGCACCTTGGACGAATGTAATCGCTCTCTATCTCCTGGACAACGCTAAGGAGCGGATCGGTATCGAAATTGACGACATATGAGAGAAGACAAAAGGAAACATATCCAAAGGAGCCAGGAGATACGAGCCATCGTGGATAAGAGACTCCCATCCTCTCTGGAGATTTATTCATCAACGCGATAAGTTAAGAATTTTAATTTGTATTTCTATAATTTATTTTTCGACGTGACTACGTGGATATATTTTTTTTTATTGTATTAACGAGACTAGTCATGTGTGTTCTTCGTTCCGATAATCGAGAGCGTGTAAATTAATTCCGTTACGTGGCATACGAAATAGCCATTTCTTTCTGACGATTTATATTCCTTCTTTTATTAGAGGAAAAGATAATTTTTGCAAAGTTACGTAAAATATTGTAAAGTGAGAATAAGCGAATAGAATTCTTACAAATCTTATTGAAATTTCATTCCTAGACGATGAGGAAGACTGCGATAGAAGAAAATGTGAAAAAAGAAACTTTGTTTCATATGCAGTAATCTAATACATCGGGTCAGGGAGCGGGATTTCCCGAATCTGTAGAAATGTATCCTTTCTCTTGGTTTCATTCGGTCGTTAAGAGGAATTACGTCCGTTTTCAATGAGGGTCGCGCGGTCGGCTCGTTTCAAGTCCAGAGAATTTCATTGAACCGCAACCCGTGGACAGGTTTAATCAACGCGTGGCAGCACGTTTCTCTATCCGGGAATTCCTACGACTCGCCGGTTTTCAGCTTTGGACCCTTTATAAATTTCTCGCTGGCCATCCGCATATACCGCGGCCCGTCGACTTACCTTTCCATTTTTCACATCGGAGGAAGAAGAATTGAAATCCTTTATCATTTTACAAACATTTGAAACAGTCCGGAAGCGCGGGGGATTTTGTCGGAGATGATCGAAAGAGAATTTTCGTAGGAGGAGTTCGTTTCGTATTCGATTTTGAAATTCAGCTGGATTTTGCAATTCTTTCGGTGACAAACACGGCTAGGACGAAGTTCCGGTTTTGATTCATTTATCACAGTGAACGTTTGTCGAGATCCGGAAAAATTAATCGACGGTTACGTATCCCGGAGAGTCTCGTTTTTCCCAGCTGCGAATTTCCATTTTTAACAAGCGCAAAAAGCAAACCGCTGCCGGCTGTCTGACTATAAAAACGTGGTATATCTCAATTACTGGTGCTGGACTCCTCCGCGACGGTTAACCCTTTTTTCGACGAGTACATTTATCAACTGCCCACGTACCGCCTCAAGTTTCTTACGAAAACGATAAATTCCTAGTGGGATCGAGCTCACGTTGCTCCCATAACGCCCGGTTTCTCGCCCGATCGTGGGCATAAGGATCCGAACCGTCTTGGTCAAGCAGATTAAGTTCAAACAAAATCCCTGAGAACAAACGTCCGCGAAATTTCGATGGATTTATTTCTATTTGAACTTGCAAGTGTTTCACTGTTTCCCCAGATGCCAGTCAATATTAAAACTACGGAAGAGAAGACTGAACAAAATTTATTTAAGCGAACACGTATCGATGAGAAAAATTTAATAAATTCATCGAGACAATTTTCGCATTAATTGGAAAATCAATAGAAGAATAAATAAAGGCTAGCAATAGAACAGCTGTTGCTTTTATTGTGTAAGTAAACCTGGCATGCTGGTCGGTCAATAGTGGCGTCGTCGCTTCGTCGGACTCGTCAAAAATCGCGTTTAATCCCGTGCCTTCATCTATCAGCGAATAAAAAACAGACGGATGCGCGGTACGTCCGTTTCGACGCGTCACCTACGTGCAACTGATGGCACGTGCTTAATTGCGATTTACCCGACACTACAGGTGAACCGAAGTGGACCGTGATCCAAATTCCCCAGCAACATTTATCCTCGGTTTGGTCGTTACGCCGTTTACCGAGAAACTCTACGGAAACGCTTTGTTACGCAGAACCGGGAAACTTTATGAGGACGGAACATTAGCACGTTCGCCGGTGAACGATAATGATTGAGGATTAACGTTGGAAATACACTATACCGTCGTTTCGTAACAGTAGTTTCATTCGAAATACGTCGTTTAAAAACGTTTTTGAAAATCGACAAGATTTTTCATATGAAACAAGCATAGGCTTCTTAATACTCAGTCAGCAGTTTGTCAGACTGTGCCATAAAACTTCTCTCCGTTTCTCACCGGGACAAATATCTCCGGGTAAGGCATAATTCACGCGGTTCCTCCTTTAGGTAAATTTGCCCGAGAACAGCGGTCTGTAAGGAAGCATCCCGAATGCGAGCAGTATGAAATTTTTCAAAAGTTACTCATGCACGCGGTCCATCTCGTAATTGGTAAACTTCGGGAAAAATGTGGAAGAAAAGTTTCGGTGTGCTTGAAATAATTGATGGTTGGCAATTAAAAAACTGACGAGAATCATAGAAACTTTTGAATAAAAAAAACTTGAAGAAGCGTTGTTCGATTTTTATGAAAATGATCCTTAAAATTCGTTGGCCTTGATCAGGTGGGGCGTGAAACTCTCGCGTGTCCCTTCGCTCGCGAATCATCTCTCGTTTCCGCGGGTCTATTATCGTGGAACACGCGATTCAGGCCGCGGATCGCGTTGCAAATGTAATCTGAGAGAGTCCCTTGCGAGCGGCCAGGCCGCCGTAACGCGACTTGTTCCAGTTCGTTTTCCGCTTCCGCGTTCGACGGCGGAAATTTTGCGTGGACATGCCCGCCGCGCTAACTTTTATCACGATAAATTTCGTCCCACGCCGTGCATATTCTCAAGCCAAGCGGAACTCTTTGACGATTATGTTGACGAGGCTATCCGTTCAATCTCCTAAAATTTCGCTCGTTAAAAACGGATAACTCCAGAGAAATTCGAGGATCGGAGAAGCGTCCCGAGTCTCGAGCTGAACTGATTATCAAAACGTCGAGAGAGTCAGAATTTTCGCTCCATCGGGAATCGTTTGTCAGCAGTTTCGAGCTTACAGTTTTGAACACAGACGTTCTTCATTGGCCGGGAAACTTTCGAGCAAGAGCCATGCGCTTCATGGGAATTTTTAAAACCGAGGACGGCCACCTGTCTTCATGGCTGGTCGATTTTCCACGATGAAAATGCCGAAACTTTCCGGATCCATCGAATTTCTTCGCTAAGCTTTCCCAGCTGTCGGTTATTCCTTTTCCACGCTCTATAATTTTATCGATTCCTCGCGCTGTTTTGCAATGAGCGACAAAATAATATTCGAATTTAATTACGTTGTTCAAAACGATGCCAGCCAATTCTGTGTACCGAAAGTTCTGTATAAGTTTCCCGGCGCTTGTTCTTATCCAGCTGTGCCTCACAAACCGCAGTCGGTGGAGAACAAGACGGAACGACCCACGACCGACCATCTGGCGGAAAGCAGCGATTCGGCTCGTTGCGGGATTCGTCGACGAAAGTGCGATGCTTTATTTCAGCCTGCTCGTTAAACGCGGATAACTCGAAGAATCGATCTCGGAAAAAAAATATCCACGTAGAAATTTTCAGCCGCGATTTAGAATCGACAGAAAATTTCGCGGTCAGTGGATTAATTGTTACGTAACCTTGCCAAGACTTTAATTAGTTTGATTTAATTGACAGATCGTGTTCCCTTTGTTTTCGCCGAGCTGGCGATGTTCCAGACTATCGACACATCACGTCTGCTGATCGAATTTATTTCACTGCTCCAAAAGATAAGAGCAAATAGGGCAATCATGTACGATTCCATGGTTTCAAACTTTCTGGTTATGCTCGAGAATGGTAAAAGTTATTCAATCCCCCCCGAGTTAGACATCGTCAGCGATAACAAAACTGTTGTTAAATGAATATATTATCTAAAGGTTCGACATTTAGTCGGCATTGATGACGTCAAAACGTTTTTAAAAAATAATAAGATTGTAGAATACTCATCAATAGTCGAACCGACAATTCGACTTTTCGACGATCTGAACTTTGACAATGAAACGGTAATAAAGATCGTGTGAATTCTATGCACTCACCCAAGAATCCCGGGATAGCACCCAGAGGCATCACGAATAGGCTGACGAGGAGATCGGCCACGGCGAGAGACAAAAGGAAGTAATTGGTAACATTGTGAAGCCCCCTGTCGAGTCCCACGGCGAGGCAGACTAGTATGTTTCCCAAGCCACCCGCCACGATGAACACAGCCACGAAGAGGAAGCTCCAGTCGAAACGGCGGCCCCTAGTTGTCGAACTTAATCTCGTCCGGTGAGAGCAGGAGATCGTCAGATCCTCCGTCGTCCCGTTTCCTGTCGGTGTGCATTCCAAAATCTGCAAACCCAACAACAATCATTGTAAAGAATGTTCTTTATACCTGGAATTTATACTCATTTCTCAGTTCTCAGTTCTCAACTGCTTATTGCATATCTATAATATATTTCATTAATTATGTATGACGAAACACATAAATATGCAATAAGCAGTTGACAACTAAGAACTGAGAACTGAGAAATGACTATAAATTCCAGCCTAAGAGACACGATATCTACTGTGCACTGATATCGTTCAGAAAATCAGCTGAATTTCTTTTTACTTTCTTTTTGCTCTAATTGTAATTGACGAAAAGAAAAAGGAATATGATGACCTGGTCGTCGGAATGTAGAGAAGTTATACAAAGTTTAATAATATTACAATATGGGTAACTTGATCTTTCGAAGTTTCTGAAGACGTTCTCTTTTGCTTGGGATATCAGTTTAACCCTAATTAACATGCCCCAAGTTGTTCGAACTATTGAGTTGCATAACATAGTAAACGTTCCAATTTCTACTTACTGGCTTATGCTTATAATAAAATTATATATAAAATGAAGAGAGAGGCAGTAGAAATTGTTACGTGAACAGAAAGTGGGTCATTTACTATATATATATTACTATGTATATTCAGTCTATGTACGACCTGTTAAGTTTCGCATAAGGTAGGTCCTGTGCCAAGATTGGGCAGCTGTTTTTTTTTAAATTCGGTTAGTAGAGGTGATGTATTATTAGAGATGAATGATATTGCTCTGTATTTTTATTACTTATAACGAGTTTATCGAAGACATTAAAAGTTTCTCGCGAAGATCTCGAAAGCTAAAACCGCCCAACATGCAAATTTCTTTTATTATTGAATTTAAAAAAAAAATTCACCTGATCATCGAAGTTGGTGTCGTTGCATTCCCTGAACCTGGGTATCCTCGACAAGAAGACACCCTCGAAGCTCTCCAGTCCACTGAGTACCAACGACACGTTCATATCACAGCTGGAATAATCGCAGGGCCTGCAGAACAGCGTCATCGTCGACGTTCCTCTATCCACTGCGCACATATGATCGAATCCTGAACCGCACTGATCGATGCACCCAAGGAAACTATCGTTGCAAGGTAGCTGGTGCAACATCGCTGTCAAGTTGCTCGTCCAGGAGCTCGTCAGGTTCCCTTCCATGTCGAATCAGCGGGTTCTCTCAAAGGGAATTCGGCCGGTCTGAATCAGACTGAACCGTAGACTTACGGGACTTTGTCCACGAACGAGCAACGTCCCATCGTCTCGTTCACCCCCGAACCTCTGCTCTGTCTTCTGTTCCGCATAGTTCACTGTCCACTTCCGGAATGCACGTGAAACCGAAGAAATATTCGCCCCCTCATGAACGAATACTGAATATCGAACGTAGACACGACAGCCCAGATCATTCCCGGTATCGTTTCGAAATAGGTCCGCGATCGGGACAAGGAAACGAGACCCTAACGATGACAGAGGGTTCCCGTTTATGGATTCTTCGGATTCGGCTGCGCCTGTTCGATGTTCACGTTTTTGCTCGTCTCCTCCTAGAACAAACGATGACAGTTTCAAGCTCTCCCGTGGGGAATCGATTTATACCGCGTGCCATTATTATCCTCGCCGCGGTGTACGGAAACCCTCACGGAACTGTTGAAAAACCAATATTCCCAGGTTTCGGCAGTCGATGCCAAAATATCTATGGATAGAAATAGTACCAAGTATTTTCAAATTCATTCCGATCTATTCCTGTCATTATACAAATAGAAAATAATTCGTGTCGCAGATTTAAATTGATTAAACAATGTTTAAATAATTTGCGACGAATATATTGATGACGCGGGACGTATCGATTCCTCTCACACTTGTTGAAACCGTCCCTCCGTGTGCGAATAAAATATTTATCGGGGATTACGAAGATGGGGATTCGAAAGAGCGGAGCAAGGCTTATACTTTATTCACGATCCGACAAGAGACGGATGTAATAATATTGCATCGATCAGAAATAAGAGTAGCTTAAGGTAACATCGGGCGCGATATGCATCGCTCCATAAATCCCATTCACCGAGGAAAACGTGTCCAACAGCAAGTCAACTTATTTATAGATTTTTCTGAACGTTCGTCAAATGCGTTTACGAACTATTCATTTATTTTTTCTTTATCAATGAAATTTTATATCGGATTTTAATCGATTTATGTTAATAAAATGATTCCGTGCCAATTGGCCTTGGTAGAAATAGATCTAAAGCTACGATTACTTCCGTATTTCAAAGGAAATGCAAAAGCGAGGTAGTCTGGGCTGTTTACCTTCCAATCGAGGAAAGTTTCCAACGACGTATGCGTTATTACGAATCTCAGTCGGATAATAAATGTAACAGCGATTTTAGCTACGAAAACAAGTAATCTCTCCACGAGTTGTGAGATATACTGCGTAAGCTCCTTAACGTAAACAACGTTTAATTAGTGTTCCTTGTAATATTAAGCCTGACGACTCTAACAATCGCCTGTTAACGATGTTCAATACGTTTACTAAGGAACAATAGTATTAATTCATCGTAAGCTGTCTCCTTTGTGAGCAATTGTGAGGAATTTGTAGAAATGTTATAAGCATCTTTGGATCCTTCTTTCTGGTAATATTGAATCTCGTAAACATCCAGCAAAGTCGATTTAGATGGTCTCTTAACTGCTTCGCGACCGCGGATCAGATATTTCGTGGTCATGTTTGTACGAAGCGATTAATTGTTATTGATGCTAGCGAAAAGTTTTTTATACAAAAATTATAGGTACTGACGTTCTTTACAAGTAAATTCTATGAATTTTTCTTGTAACTTCGATATTTGACGAGTTAAGTATGATTAATTGGCATTTTATTGATGTTGACAAAATCCGACCATTCCACCGTCGAAATGGCGAACTTTTGACAAAAAATTTCGTTTTTCCTCGATAACTGCTAAACCGTTGGACTTACGGGAAAATTGCATCAGACCTTTCTTGTAGAGGACGACGAGATCTACAATTTCTGTATAAAAATGTTTGGCTAGCGTCAATAGTTTATGAGTTATTAACGAAAAACGTAAAAACAGTTTTTTGCAAATTACTCGTAAACTATTAGAGCTAGCGAAGAACTTTTACATGGAAATTGTAGATCTCGTCGGCCTCTACAAGAAAGGTCTGATGCAATTTT